TACGTTTATAAGCTAACGTTCTAATTTCCAGAATCATTATTTACAAGTACAGAGGAACAACAAAGACACGATCATGAGGATGATGACTGATGACACTGTAGATACAACCCTGCACAAGGCCGTGAGGAGTGGACATGTTGATGTTGTCAAGGTTTTGGTGAAAGAAGATCATGCATTCGAATTTCCAGGGAAACACCATCTTATCTGGCGGACGAGTCTGATTTTATTATTCTGCATATAGTCTGGGAAATCTGCAAGAAACCAACTTATGAAGACCTTGACGTGTGGGTACGTAATTGTTGTTACTCACTGTATTAACATCCAATATCAGTAGTTAATTAATTTGACGTGCCATAATATATTATCGTCTACTTAAATTAATAGACTTTACGTCCATCTAAATACATGACTTGACCCACTTCTTTAATTTGAGCATTGACTTGATCACTGGTCCTGATACATGTGAGTTTCACTTATTTCTTTTTGATGCAGTCTCAAATACAATGGAATCTTATCTTTTTGAACTTGTAAACAGTAAAAAGCAAGAGACCATCACCATAAGTTGCTTCTTAAACACCAAAGTGAATATCATGTCTCTCAAAGAAAAGGAAAAGCCAGTAGTACCTTTTCGATTAACTGGACAGGAAGAGAAACAATTTAAGCATTTTAGCTTTAAACTCTCTGACTTCCAGTAATATATTTTAATTTAACAAATCAGTAATTAGTCAATATATATTAATTAAATTAAGATGTGTGTGATTTTATGAATTTAAAACAAACCAGACCAATTGTGTAGCATGCATAAAAAGAATTTGAGGGAGGTTTGTGCTCCATACTTAATATTCAACAATTAAACACACAAAAGGGTAGTCCTGGAATAGAATATAAATTTTATCAATTGAACCAGCATTGTCACTGAAAAGCAATAATAATAAGGGAGGATGAATGTGGTATCTAAGATCATAGAAGTTAGTGTAATAGATACATTTGGAGGGAGGTCTTTGAAATTATCCCTACGTTTTTTTATTTGTTCTAATTAACTTAATTTTTTTTTCTCTTTTTCAAAAGATATTTTGGAAAAATAGAAATGAATAAGGATATGGGATGTTAGAAAAACTTGATTTTTCAGATTTATCTGGACTTCATGAAAATATTTTCCTTGTTCTATTATTTTCTTATTTAATTACTCAGTCTGTCCTGGAAACAACCTCTCTACCTTTCGGAGTAGGGGTAAGGTCTGCGTACATACTACCCTCCCCAGACCCCACTTGTGGGATTATACTGGGTCGTTGTTGTTGTAGTCTTGTCTGTGTTGAAAAAAGAGAATCATGAGACAAAGTAAATTTTAAGACATAAGTAATATTTTGGTTTTAGGAGATTTAGTAGTAAAAAACCCATTTTTATTCATGGTGATACTCTTTAAACTTTTGAATAATAATTAAAAGGTAAAAGAAGAAACAGCAAAGATAAACGACAAATTCCTTTCTTCTGATCAAGGCAAACAACAAATCCCTTTCTTTTGATCAAAGGCAAAGATCAGTGGTGTTCAGAATATTTCATCCAGAGAAAGCAAAGGACTGAAAACATAATTCAGGAGATTTTGGATAAATTCGCTAATAATTAAAGAAAAAAAAATGGATCCAACCTTGTATAATGCTGCGGTAGAAGGCAATACCAGAGATGGCAAATTTGTACTTGCTGATCATCTGAAAAGGGATGAAGAAAATGGGCACCAAGTCACTCCAAGGGGCAACACTGTCCTCCACGTGGCAGCCCTCTATGGCCACTCCCATTTCGTGGGAGAAGTCCTTAAGATTACTCCCGCATTGTTATGTCATCAGAACAAGAAAAATGAGACTGCACTTCACATAGCAGCTAATGAAGGCACAGTGAAGTAGTTCGTATGCTACTTAGTATAGGTGGAGAGGAGAATAAGGAGATACTCATGAGGATGANTAATCATGAGGATGGCAGATGACAATGGAGATACAGCCCTGCACAAGGCCGTGCGTAGCCGACATCAAGATGTAGCCAGACTTTTGGTTAAAGAAGATCCTGAATTCGAATATCCGTCCAACAAGGCCCGGGAGACACCACTGTACCTGGCGGCGGAGTCTGGTCTTCGTGATGCTTTGGTTGAAATCTTGGTAACCTGCAACAAACCAACTTTTGCAGCAGGTCCATTTAATCGAACACCTCTGCATGCAGCAGTAATTCATCAACACACAGGTATGTACGTATTTTTTGTTACTCTTCGTCATTAACATCTAGCTTTAGTTTGATTTTTCCATACCATTGTCTACATTAACTTGGAGTATATAATCATTTCAGATATTCTCAGTAGTATAAAATTAATATTCACATCACTCATTTTGTGAGACAACTCTAAAGACTTATTTCTAGTTAACCAATAACCTTTTGAAATAGTCCTAGATAGCCATATCAAAATCCATACGTGTTTGATTGGTTGTGGAGGAAATCACAAATCGGCTTGGTAACAATAATAATTTTCTCCTAATTAATTAGTTTCCCTTTAAATGATTAACTCAAAAGTCAAATTTTAAGTTTGATAGCTCTTCATACCACTCTTGAACCCTTGACCTAGTGGAAGACTTAGAAATCAATAAGTATTCAATCAATAACAACCAAATCCAAGCTCTAGGATTGTGCGAGAAATATGAAAGAGGAAGCAAAAGAATAAATAATTTGAAAAGCGCTTTTGAATGGTCTCTTAATTTGTGATGAACTAACTCTTCATCATCATCATCATCATCATCATCATATTTGACACATCCAGATTGCGCGAGATTACTATGGCAATGGAATAAATCTTTATGTGAGGAAGCTGACGTGAGTGGTTGGAATTCGCTGCACTATGCTGTTTATCTAGGATTGAAAGAAGTAGTTTCTGATATGCTGGGGTGGAAGAAATCCTTAGCCTACCTTCCAGCAGGCAGTGAAAATCGCTGGACGACAACGTTTCACATTGCAGCCAATGCAGGTGATGTAAACATGATAAATGAGTTGTTAAAGTACCGCCCTGATTGCTGGGAAATGCTTGACAGCAGAGACAAAAATGCTCTTCATGTTGCCATATTGAACAATCAATTTATGTTAGTTAAGTCCTTATTAAAGTCCACGAAGTGGGATAGCCTTGCTGACAATGCAGATGATGATGGCAACACTCCTCTCCATTTGCTTGCCGCCTCTAGTTATTGGGCCCATGTGCCTGTGAAATTAAGAGAAAATCGCAGAGCAAAGACGATGTCATTTAACAAAGAAAATCAGACTCCGCTTGACGTAGCATGGTCTTGCATAAAGAGGACGACAAACAAGGAAAGTATCAGTGGCAGCTTGTATCACGATTTTGCTAACATTGGTCGATTTGGACGACGTGAGACTCCGTGGAATACTTTGGATGAAATTCATATACAGAGGGAGTTTTCGAAGCGTGATAAGGAATTTGAAACAGAAATCAAAAGCATCATGTCGGCAGCTCAAATACATCTAGTTATGGCCACTCTATTAGTTACAGTCACCTTTGCCGCTGGTTTCACATTGCCAGGAGGTTTTGACTGCGATTCCAATAGCCCTAATAAAGGGATGGCGATTCTAACAAGAAAAGCAGCATTCCATGTATTTGTTATTACGGATGCCATCGCCTTTGCATGCTCGGCTGGTGCTATATTCAGCTACTTCCTCATGGCAATAAATCATCGACCAACATCCTATCAGGATTACAGAATTCTATCGGCTCTCAGTAGAGTCGCAGGTCAGTTGCAGCTTCTGGCAATGTTAGCAGTGGTAATTGCATTTGTAACTGGTATGTATGCTACTTTAGCATATTCACTGGGTCTTGCCATTACTGTATGTACCATTGGTTGCCTCTCTTTTCTTTTGTACATGTTTGTAATGTATATTGTTGGAAGAGAACTTGTTTGAGAAATAAATGCATCTTTTTCCTTTTCAGTGAAATTAATTCAAGCAGTATGGCCGAGTAATAGTACTGCAGTCTGCATGCATCGATCAGTATTTGTTTAACAGATTGTTCAGTTCAGCATCTCTCTTTTTGCTTTAGCTTGCCTTCTCGCATACCATATGTATATAGATGCATTCGTAAAGATGATGTGCAAGTTTTGTAGTTTCACAAAAAAACTGTCAAATTTATTTAAAATAATTACGAATTCTTTAATATTGTATAGTATTATATGTTATCTTGGTTTTTATTTTCATTTATATATTAAAGTAATAAGACGCCTTACTTTAAAAAGTAGCTTAATTACTTTAGAAGTTACGTGCTTATATGCACGTGAACTACTCTCTACCATTAGTTTCTAATTAACTTCTAGTCTGAGCGGAGAAAGTTGTCATTTTCCAGAAACAATATTTGGTAGTTCGGTTTACATGTTATGTTAGTTATGTGCGAAAAATGTAACGTAGGAAATATTTATGGGGTGAGTGGTAATGAATGAATTATTGTGCGGTAATTAACAATATGACTCATCATGAATTATATATATTTATTTTTCTTAGAGAACTAAGATTTAGCTGCAACTATTTCAATATTACTAAGAGGATAAGTTCGAACAATTTTCAAGTTATAAAGATGATATTTTTATTTCACACTAATTAACTTACAACTAACTATAAAGCAGTAAACATTATCAATTAAAGGTGATGAATTCGAGACAAGATTAAAGAGGCTTAGGGTAACAATTTCCTAATTGTCAGAATCTTTTCCACTACATCTCCCATAGTTTGGCCTAAGCGTTCTCTACTAATTGTAAGCACTCAACTTACCGCAATTCTCTCTCAAGCGGTCACGATAATTTACTACACGTATTCTTTTGGATAGGGGGCGGATGCACGCTTAACAAAGCAGTGTCATACAATACCGCTTCATCGAATTTTTTACTAAATATATGTATTAATACTGTGAGTGGAAATGGATAAGTAACAAAAAATTGTCACCACTAGGGGTCGGCGTTCGGGCAGTTCAGATTGGATATGAAAATGTCGATTTGGATTTTCGGTTTCGGATTGAAGAAATGACAATCTAAATCCAATCCAAATATGCTCGAATTGGATCGAATTTTTTTAAGTTCGGTTTCGGATTAATCGGTTTGAATATTTTGGATTATCTATTTTGAGCTTATAAGTGGAGATGTTTATTGCTTTTACAAAAAATGAATATCCAAATGAAGTATGTTAAATTGCATGAAAAGTTCCTCATTCTCAGCGCAATCATCCAAATAAAGTATTCGAGTAATAAAATTATTATTAAGGAAATACAACAAAGACATTAATACAATTGATAAGAAGTAACAACAGTAAAATCATGCCCAAACAGAAAATCTTGTAAGAGTAACTTAGTAATTAATATTTGAATGTATGAGATAATATCTAATGGATAGGGTATTGAACGTATTACTATTGACATATGGATAGTGGACTAAATATAAAGTACAAAAATTTCGGATTTTCGGAAGTACCAAATCCAATATCCAATCCGAAATCTAAAAGTTTTAAAAATTAAATAAAAATGCAATCTGTAATCCAAAAATCCAAAGCAAAAATCCAAAAAAGTCGGATTTCGGTTCGGATTTTCGGTTTGCCCAAACAATGCCCACCCCTACACTTGACATAAATTCTCTCTTGGTGCATTAGTTATGTTCTTGATTTTGCTCTAAGAGGTTAGATGTTCGAACCTCAACAACCATTTTTTTTTTCCAAATATTAAGAGAGTTTCTATGGCTAAAATTGTGATGAAGTAGAATTGAACTCAAGATCTTTTCTAACTTAAGACTCAACAAAACTAATAGACTAGGACTATTTCTTATCTAAAAGTATAATAACTAAAGTTATTATTCCCGTTCTTCTGTAGATTTCAACACCGCTTACAAAATTTTTTGTGCACGCCCCTGCTCTCGGACTACACTAGCTGGCTTTTTCTCAAAGCTCACTACGACCACGTTAAAGCTTCATTATCTCTAATCCTGCTTTTAAACCCTCCGTATTGATCTCTCATATACTTTAGGAGTTAGGGATGGACCTGTATTGGGTAAAACTGATAGCCCGAATCAAAAAAATACTATTGAATTATCGGTATTGCGTTATTAGATTAGTGGTTCGGATAACAGTTTAATGTCATTTAATTATTAGGTTATCAATTGGGGAGTCGGTTTGCCCAATTTGATTAACGCTTTAACCGATAACCCAATAAACTTTATCAAAACTATAATTGTATCCTTAGGAATATATATATAAAGCCGTCTTAGGGCTTCATTCTCTCATTCTCACTATTGTCACTCTTTATCTTCAGACCTTACTCCTTAAGTGATAAACTTTCCTGAATTTCTCACCTTACAATTTCTTTTGTTGACTTTGAGAATTGAGATCATTCGTTGGGTTTTTTCAAAGAAAATTTCGTATTCTAAAGTTAAAATTTAATCTCTCTTTTCTTAAGAACAAAATTCAATTTCTTTCTATTAAGAGTATGATCATGATTTCTGTTATAAAAATATGAAATTTTGGGATATTTTCGATTCTTTATTTTGTGTGCTCATTCTTCGATTATCGGTCTAGCATATTTATTTTGTGTACCCATTTTCTATCATCTTCCTCTAGATTGAGTTATCTTATCGGGTAAACTAATAACGATCGATAACCAACTAACCAATACCCAATAACTAATATTCTATTGGTTTGATTTTCGGCTTAGCAATTTATAAACTGATAACTGACATATCAAACAGATAACAATTACTACCGAACCACACCGACCAGGACCTGCCCCTTTTGGGACTAGCGTTATCCAACAACAACCTAAATATGCATTCTTTCTCAAGCAATACACACTATAGGCACCGTTAATTAAGAGTTCTTCAATTAAGTAATTAATGTTTGAGTGTCAATAATGATAATTATAGAATTTGGCATATGATTTGCGCTAGGAACTGTTAGGCGAGCCCCCAGCGGTGAGCGTTAGGCATATTTTGGGAGAACAATCAGGTGCTTGAGTCGTAACCTACACGTGAGCCAGGGTGTTTTGATAGTGCCCAAGACGAATCCCGTGGCGAGTCCCAAGAAATCCTTTTAAAACACTGATGTTGGGCGTAACAATGGCAAAATCCCTTTTGGGATAGTTTTGTTGGATATTTATTTTTTTGAATTTTACATAAAGTTCTTGGAATTTGCGGCTGATTTTCTATTTCGATGTTTTGGAACCGTGATTTAGGTTTATGGAACTGAAATTTGGGTTGATTAAACTTAAATTTGGGTTGATATAAATTATTTACCTTGATTAGTGCAATGATACTATTTGTATTATAGCACTCATTTAAGCTATGTGAGTTGATGTTGGTACCAAAAGTAGTGTAATTTGATAGCCAAAATGATATTTTTGTACGCAAATACATTAGTTGCAGCCTAAACTTGTCCAAAAAATTCGTTGCACACTTGAACTTTACAGGCGTCTCATTACCACCTAGTTTTGTTTGAGTGGAATTAATACCAACTGTTTCTTTGATTATTTTTTAGATGTCACTCTATCAATAAATATAAACAATCGGGCACAATATCCGAAAATAAAATAAAATATCGGATTCTAGCTTCTCTCCCATTGACATTCCTATTAGCTAGAGAATCGAAAATTCAAGCCATTTATGTAGGAAAAATATTAAAATATATTGATGAAGAACAAGTAACCGGTGGTGGTGTTGTTTAAATCGGCTTTGAAGTTGTGGTGAGAGTTGGCGGCCAATTGGTTAGCAGCAAAGAAGAAAAAGCTATTATAAAAGAGAGAGGGATGGGGTGGTTTCTAATGATGAAAAAGAAGCTTCTCATTTTGAGCCAAGTAATACTAATATTTTGCTCCCAGAAAAGTGTTGTCATTCATTGCTCAATAATTTTGAAGTTCTTATGTTGATACTTTAAATGACAAGAACTATTTCTAGGGTTCTGTTTAATTGGAAGTTTCATATATGAAGCTGACACCTCTATGAAAAATTAAAATATTGCTATAACAAATTTCTAAAGTCAAAAAGGTCAAAATAATGCTTTCCTTTACATTCTTCTTCATATAAGGCACAATCTTCCATTTACAAGTGCCCAACTCTTCCCGAAAATTCATTAACACCGGCTTTCTGTGAATACATCGTAAGTGAGAACCAATTGGCCCGTCAGCACCACTTCTTTACATGATTCCGTTAGTTCCGTTGGGTGATTTTGGACTTATGAGCGCGTCAGGATTGTGATTTGAAAGTCCGTAGTAGAATTTGATTTGAAATAGCGAAAGTTGGAATTTTTGAAAGTTTGGCCGGGAGTGGACTTTTTGATATCGGGATCAGATTCTGATTCCGAAAGTTGGATCAGGTCTAAATGTCAAATGTAACTTGTGTGCAAAATTTGAGGTCAATGACGTGATTTGATAGGTTTCAGCATCGGTTATGGAAGTTTGAAGTTTCAAGTTCATTGATTTCGAATTGAGGTGTGATTCGTCGTTTCGATGTTGTTATGTGTGTTTTGAGGCCTCAAGTAGGTCCGTGTTATGATATGAGATGGTATATTCAAATAGGGTTTCGAGGGGCTCGGGTGAGTTTCAGATAGGTTCGGGTTGTGTTGCGCTCATTTTTTATGTTTCGACGTCGCTTTTCAATCATAAATGGTACAATATTAAGCAAATGAGTTCCAATTCTATTTTTATTAAAGTATTAGATCCGTATCGTAATTATGGAGCCATAACAAAAAGAATCGTCGAATTTGTACATCGTATGAGGATTTTATGATAATTTTACTGAGAATTGGGTTGCCAGATTTTTCAGATTAATTACGAAGTTGCCACTGAATTCGTATTAAAAATCTGCACTATTTTCAAATATTGAAACCAACATATCTCTTTCAATATAAGGTCAAATGGAGTGATTCAAGAGCCTAACATGATTAGAATTTCACAAGGAATGCATTGGAGGCATCAA